TGCCGGCGGCGTTGGAGCCGCGGACACCCGGATCCCGGTGAATTTCTTCCTGGGATACCCCGATTCGGGGGCATTTCCCCTTGGGCCATGCCGATCCCGGTGCATTACCCCTTGGGACATCCCGATCGCGGCGAATTTCCTCCTGGGATACCCCGATCCGGGGGCATTTCCCCTTGGGGTCCCTCATCCGGGTGCATTTCCCCTCGAGCACCCCGACCTGGGTGTATTTCTCCCCGGGCACCTTGACCCGGGTGCATTTCCCCTTGGGACACCCCGATCCGGGTGCATTTCTCCTGGGGGTCCCACATCTGACTGCATTTCCCCTCTGTGCATCCCAATCTGGGTGCATTTCTCCTTGCTGCACCACGACCCGGGTGCATTTCCCCTTGGGAAACCTCGATCCAGGTGCATTTCTCCCTGGGGCACCTTAATCTGAGCGCATTTTCCCTTGGGACACCCTGATCCAGGTGCCTTTCCCCCGGATCACCTCCATCTGGGTGCATTTCCCCCGGGGACATGCAGATCCGGGTGCATTTCCCCTCTGTGCATCCCAAGCCAAGTGCATTTTCCCTCCCAGCACCTCAGTCCGGGTGTGTTTCCCTGCCTGACACCTCTGTCCGGGTACATTTTCCCTTGAGGCACCCCAGTCCACCCAGTCCGGGTGCTTTTCCCCACCCCCCTGCTGGGCACTACAGCTCCAGGTCTGCAAACGGCTGCAAAAACCATAAACAGGGTTAAAAAGGCAGGCGCTTCCCCAGGATGAGCCGCATCGGAGGCTGCGGCTGCGCGTTGGGATTTTCCGTTGCCTTTTCTTTGCCTCTCACCTCTCTCCATGTGCCCGCAGGCTTGCGCATCCATGAATACTTGTACTTCCAAGTGCTGAGTCCCGGCGACATCCGCTACATCTTCACGGCCACTCCAGCTAAGGATTTCGGGGGAGTGTTTGTAAGTAGAAGGATGGGGTTTGCCTGGGAGCCACCGTTCCCGGCTGAGCCTGATGCTCCACGTAGCTCTGTGCCTCATTTTCCCTTTCGTGACGCATCCACGGGGTCCCCTTGGGCGGCCCGGTGGGTCCCGGGGGCACATCCTGCATGAGGCCGGGGACAGCCGTTCCCTGGGGGCTCCCTGGGCTCAGTCCTGCCTGTCTCTTCCTGGGAGAACACGCGGTACGAGCAGATCCACCTGGTGCCGGCGGATCCGCCTGAAGCCTGCGGGGAGCTCCGGAATGGGGTCTTCATCCAGGACCAGATCGCCCTGGTGGAGCGCGGGTAGGTGCGGGGCCTCACGGGGCAGCCGGTCCCAAAGATGAGGAGGGCTTGGAAAACGCGTGAGGCCCTGGAATCGGCCCCTGTTTGGGGCATCCCCGGCGAGTCGTGGCCCCTCTGCGCCGCAGGGGCTGCTCGTTCCTGTCCAAGACGCGCGTGGTGCAGGAGCACGGCGGCCGCGCCGTCATCATCGCCGACAACGCCTACGACAACGACAGCTTCTACATCGAGATGATCCAGGACAGCACGCGGCGCACAGCCGACATCCCCGCGCTCTTCCTGCTCGGCAGGGACGGGTAGGGAGAAGCTGGCGGCTGGATCCATGCCAGGATGCTGAGGGCGGGTGTCGGAGCGGATCCGCTCGGGTGGCATCGTCCCGCGTGGGAGCAGCAGGTCTCTGTGTCACCATGTGCTTCGCGCTGCAGCCCAACGTCTGGCTCTTGTCCTGACCTTCTCTGTGGGAATCTTTTGGGGATCCCATTCCAGTCACGCCATGCTCTGATCTTCCCAGATGTGGAAGGTCTTGTGCGAAGGGCCGAGTGCCCTTGTGCCTATGAACCAGAGGGTCCCCACCAGCCGTATGTCCCATCTGCGCCTCACAAGCCGGGTTTCTGCTATAATCCAGAGCATTTCTCCTGGAATTCGTCCGCAGTTGGTGCCAACAGTGCCCACGGAGGCTCACAGGGCCCTGTCCCATCTCTGTGCCCCCAGGTACATGATCCGGCGCTCCCTGGAGCAGCACGGACTCCCCTGGGCCGTCATCTCCATCCCAGTCAACGTCACCAGCATCCCGACCTACGAGATGATGCAGCCCCCCTGGACCTTCTGGTAGTGGTGAGAGGCCGCGGAGCATCGCGATGGCTCCAGGGATCCCACAAGCTTTTCCTAGGGACGGGCTTGGAGGAAAGGACCCCTGCGATAAGAGCCCACAGCCCGGATTCAGCAGCGGGAAGATCATCACGCACTGGGGATGTGGCCCGTGGCGCTGAACAACCTTTGTGGGGACGTTGTGGGAGGGCGGTGATGGCCCCAGGCACGGAAGGAGGCCGGCGCTTTCCCGGGAAGTGCTGGGCGCCGCAGGGGAGCCGCCGCGGGGCCGGTCCAATGGGGCTCGCCCCACGGCGCCGTGCTTTTGTCTCAGCTCACGAAGCCTCAACAGGTTTTAGACAATTCCTCCTTGTTCCTGCTTGCTGTTCTGCTGTTCCTGGGCCTCTGCTGGGTGCTCCCCCTGCCCTCAGCCCGAGCCCCCGTTGTGCCCCCGGGTCGTGCCCCCCCCTCTGCCCTCTGGCTTCCTGGCATAGAGGACGCGGCGACACTTTTCACCACTCAGTTTATTACGAACACGGAAGGGCGTGAGGCCCGGGACACCCCAGGGCTGGGGACAAGCGGCGG